TTAATTACTAACAATTGTAGAATTAAATCCTACATGCAAAATGCGGCATGTTTTTGTATTTTTTATTAATTTAACAAATACAAATGCACAGACAAATACAAATAATTATCCAAAAATGTCACAATAATTCTCAAAATTGCACACCAAAGAAAATCATTTTATTTTGAATTTTTTGGGAGTAATTCTTTCATCGGGCAAAAATCACGTGCTTACAGCTGCCCCTCTTTGCCCGAAGACACGAAGGGTTTTCGTGCAAAGATAAAGNCCAATATCTGCTTCGTGACTTGGATATACCTCTCTCTGATCCTCCTTTGGTGCTATGTGACAATGTTAGTGCTTTGTATCTATGGACCAATCCCATTTATCATGCTTGTACTAAGTATTTGGAGATTGATTTCGCAAAAGTTCTCACTAAAGGTTTATCTTCTCACCGCCTCTCAGTTCTTCGTGACAAGCTTCACATTTCTCCTAATCCATGTTCAGCTTGAGGAGGCCTATTAATGTATTATAGTTTGGTTTGGATAGAAGTGTATCTAATTACAATTAGATAGAGAGCAGGAGCCTTATTGTTATCTCATTGAAGAGTTTGATTATAACTTGTAATCTGCATCATCTTTTAAATAGCAATATAACAAAGCGCAAAGGTGCGAAGGTTATTTCTCAACAACTAATGCTTGTTTTTTTATTTGAATGAGTAAGATTCAATTCTTCAATTTATTCTTATAATACAACCCCATGATGGAGATTTTCAGTTCTTTCACATATTAGAGACGCAAGGGATCTATCAACATATTCAGTTAAGATTGTATAGACTACAATATCTTGATCCTCGTCCGATTGGCCAAACACGGATTGCTAGCTCCTAAGTGACATAAGCTTTTTTCTTTAATTCACCACTAGACAGTCAAAATTGACCGCGGCCGACCAATTGACTTCGATCGGTTTTTCAATTATTATTTTTTACGAAACCGATCAACTTCTATCGATTTTTTTGACGTAAAATTGTGGAAAACTATTTTGGCGTCCCGCGAAATTTATTTTTTAAGAAACCGACCAACTTTAATTAATTTTTTATGTAAAATAATTAAAATTAATAATCAAAAAATCGGCTGAAATCTGTCGGTCATTTTAAAAAACCAACCGATTTCGGTCGATAATTTTATATTTTTAATAAAACCAACCAATTTCGGTCGGTTATTTTCGCGCGAAAATCCAACTAAAGAGTACAAATAAAATAAAAGAAAGTCTTAAACCAAAGTATATCAATGGTCTAGTGTAGAATAATATCCTGCCACAGTATAGACTCCGATTCGATTCTCAGACGGTGCATCTTTAATGAAAATACCGACCGACTTCGATCGATTTTTCGGCAATTTTTCTTTTGGCTGTTTATGATATTTAATTGACCGACCGAAGGCACCAGAAGTTGCCAAAATGAACGTACTTTAACTACCAGTTGAGCTTAGACAGTTACCGTGGCCTGTATATTAGAGTCGATACTCCCCTAATGGAGTGATAGGACGAATCTCGCAAGGATAGGTCATAAACCAAGTATTTTTTATTTTTTATAATATAGATATTTATATATAAAATATTTTTGTCGATGCTAATAGTTCCGGTGACCCCAAATCCCAAAGTAGGTCTATTTCTAAACACACGACTTATAATTGTGAAAAAACGTGCTCATTTAACAAATTTAAATTACGGGCGAATAGATTATATATTAATGTTATAATAAAGAGCAGATGGCTATTGAAAAAGGAAAAAAGATAATAATGACGATACCATTAAAAAATCACACGACAATACAATCATCAGTGTTCACTACTTTTCTCGTCCATTTTATACATCTATTTGGCATGTTCTTGTTTGACTTTTGGCGCAAATTTCATAATTCTTGGTCCCTATCTCTTTGCTGGATTTGCTAGTACGACAGTTGGATGTAGACCCAAGTTGTACGTAAGAGCTTTTAATTGCAGATCTCATCCTTTCCCTATATTCTAGCTAGTGTCATAGTCTCATAGATTAATTAGTAACTAGCTCACCTACATTCAACAGATCAGTCGAGGACCAAATGTTTTTATGTTGACACTCAAATTTATGAATGTTTTTGCTGCAAACTTGCTAGTATTTGCAATGACTTTTTGCAGTAAAAGTTGTCACTCATTCTACAGTTGTGATCTGAAAGCAAAATACTTGCTCCATGCCATAAATCACGGCTCTAAGATTTAGAAACGGTGAGTGATTGTTCTTTACATATATTACTTTATATTTTGCAAATACGTATAATGTATATAGGGTTTAATTTGGTTGAACCCACTGCAAAATGATAGATTTGCAAAATCTACCTACGTAGTTGTGCATTTGGTTTTTGAATTTAATTGAGATATGTGCAAATTAATTCAAATACCACCATATTATGATAAAATGAAAAAATCGAATGATATAATGCTAGCTAGTGAAAAACTTTTAAATTTCAGGATCATGGTAGTTCGGTGAAATGACAAGTGGAGATAATATAATAGTGAAGATTTTCATATACCAACATTTTTTCTTGTTTGAGAGTCAAATAGCGCTACGCGGGCCGAGTCAGACCTTAAAATAGGAGATCAGTTGTACTTTTATATTTATTTATTTATTTAATTTGGCAAATTTTTTAATTCTTACTTAAATACCTAAGGTACTAACCACAACAAATTAAGCTTCCCCTGTAAATGGATTAGCAGTTTGCAGTATACAAAATTATTAAAGATATAAACCTTGGACTTAATGGCGGTAAATTTTGGTACTTTTGTTTTCTGAAAATATTATTTGTTCTTTTGAAAAAAAATTATAAACAATTTCAAGTTGCAACTTTTGGTTAAAATATTTTCTTCCATTCACAAAATTTCAACTTTTTTTCAAATAAAATACATATCAAAATACAATATCAACTTTTAAAAATTATTTCTCATTACAGTTTCAAGGATTCTTTTTTCAAGTTTCAACTATAGCTTTTGGTTAGGCAATTGACACTATATAATTGGCTTTCTTAGAATTTCTGTGTACTTATTGTACTTTTCTTTTTATAAATTCCTTTCCCCTCTCAGATCCATTGTCAGTTTTTTTTGTCTTTATTCCGCAGTTTTGGCTGCCCGTCTGTGGTGCTGCCATGTTTGGTCGGCAGAATAACTTCTCCTGACTGAGTTGCGTCAACTTTTCTGTTAGTAGTATATTCAGTAAACTGTTCAAGTTTAAACTTAATGCGATCTTTTTACTCAATCAAATACAGTGGAAGATCGCAACATTTGTAATTACAATTAAGAAGAAGAGCGAAATCTTCAATAACTGCTTCAGCTCAATGACGACTAATTCCAACTGTAACCTTTACGTCCTAACTGCTTCTCAAGATGTAAATCTTGTCCAGTGTGAGTTTTTAACTGCTTCTTTCTCAAATCTAATCCGACAATTTCTTTATTGTTTGCATAATTATTTGATTATTTCTATACAAGTTGAGAGCTCGAATTGCAGCGAGCTGTCTTTGTTATTTCAGAGATCCCTTTCTATCCTTAACTGTTTCCTTTTTTGGCAATTACATATTGTCTGCTGGCTTTCTGTTTTTAGTGTCAAAGATCATGGACTGCTTTTCCTTTGTCTCCTTAATTCTTCCTTTTCAGGCAATATAAAATTGTTTAATGTTTTTTTTGGGGGGATTAAACATAAATGGAAGTCCTGACATTCTAATCAATTTGTTTCCATATCATGGAGGAGTGCGTGATTTTCTAATATCATTTGTCTATTCAGTCATGCTCCTCTTTTTACTGTATGCAATTTCCAGGAACGAATTCGGGTTGCTTTTGTGGCCAGTGGGAGAGCCAGGAATTTATGCTAAGGGGGTTCGAAAAAATACTAGAAAGTTACACTTGTGGATTTGAACCCCCTTTGATACTATACTAGAATCTTTATGTCAAGGGGAATCAATAGTTTATATACCCAAAGAGATTCATTTTTGGCCTATTTCCGCTGTATAATTTTCGGAGAAAGGGGATTCAATTGAACCCCCTTTGCTCTACATAGCTCCGCTCCTGTTCGTGGTTATATGGCAGCACTCAAGTTCATGGATGGTATAATTTACTCACTTGAATTTACTTTCTGTAATCATTCTGTCATTCTAGCTCCATAATCTTTCTTTTAGCTTTGCTCATTTCATTTTCTTTCTTCAGCTTGTGAGTACAATAAGCCTCCAGGGCTGGTCAGCGATGGTGGTGGCGCTGAACTGGAAAATTACTTGTCAGAAGAAACTCGAGAAGCATGTTTAGGACTTCATCCAGATAGACTTGCATCTATTGTTAGTTCCTACGACATCAAAACCTTAAATAAAATAGGAGGAGTTGAAGGGATCGCAAGTAGGCTGAGAGTCTCATTGGATGAAGGAGTGAAAAAAAGTGATGTGCATATCAGACAAAATATATATGGATCGAACAAATACATTGAGAAACCTTTTAAAAGTTTTTGGACTTTTACATGGGAGGCTTTGCAGGATATAACTCTCATCATCCTCATGGTTTGTGCTGTTGTCTCTATTGGTGTGGCGCTTGCCACCAAAGGGTGGCCAAAAGGAACATATGACGGGCTGGGAATTCTACTTAGCATATTCTTGGTAGTCATAGTTACTGCAATTAGCGACTACAAGCAGTCATTGCAGTTCAGGGATTTGGATAAGGAGAAGAAAAAGATATTTATCCAGGTCACAAGAGATGGATCCAGGCAGAAGGTTTCCATTTATGACTTGGTGGTTGGTGACGTAGTTCACTTATCTATGGGGGATCTGATTCCCGCTGATGGAATATTCATATCTGGATACAGCTTGCTAATTGATCAATCAAGCCTATCTGGTGAGAGTGTACCCGTAAGCATATATGAAGGAAGACCTTTTCTTCTATCTGGAACCAAAGTGCAAGATGGTTCAGCTAAGATGCTAGTAACAACTGTTGGAATGAGAACCGAATGGGGTAAGCTGATGGAGAGGCTAACAGATGGGGTAGAAGATGAGACTCCTCTGCAAGTTAAGTTGAGTGGTGTTGCTACCATTATTGGAAAGATAGGACTAGCATTTGGTCTGCTTACATTTATGGTGTTGACAGTCAGATTTATGGTAGAGAAAATACTTCACCACGAGCTCACGAAATGGTCTTCGAGTGATGCACTTACTCTTCTAAATTACCTCGTGACAGCAGTGACTATAATTGTTGTTGCAGTTCCAGAAGGACTGCCTCTGGCAGTGACGTTGAGTCTTGCATTTGCAATGAAAAAGCTAATGGACAACCAGGCATTAGTGAGGCATCTTTCTGCATGTGAGACAATGGGTTCAGCTACTTGCATATGCACAGATAAGACAGGAACACTTACTACAAACCAAATGGTAGTCAAGAAGATATGGATTTGTGAAAAAACTAAAAAGGTAGAAACTGATGGAGGTGGGGATGCAGTAACTTTGAATATATCAGAAAATGCATTGGCCTTTCTTTTACAGGCAATATTTCACAATACGGGAGCAGAGGTAGTTAAGGATCATGATGGAAACAAGTCGATTCTGGGAACACCAACAGAATCAGCAATATTAGATTATGGATTGCTTCTTGGTGGTAATATTTATGAGCAAAGGAAGGACTGTAAATTCCTAAAAGTTGAGCCTTTCAATTCAGAAAAGAAAAAGATGTCTGTGCTTATTGCTCTCCCAGATGGCAAAGTCCGAGCTTTCTGCAAGGGTGCATCTGAGATAATCCTAAAAATGTGTGACAGTCTTATTGATCTTAATGGTGAAATTGTTCCTCTGACAGAAAATAGAATAAGAAATATTATGGATGTCATTAGTGAATTCGCTGGCGAAGCCTTGCGTACTCTTTGTGTGGCCTTCAAGGACTTTGAGGATGGCTGTGAAGAAAATATTATTCCTGATAGTGGCTACACATTGTTAGCTATTATTGGGATTAAAGATCCAGTTCGTCCTGGGGTTAACAAGGCAGTAAAAACATGTTTAGCTGCTGGAATTACTGTGCGAATGGTCACCGGTGACAATATTAATACAGCCAAAGCCATTGCTAAAGAATGTGGGATACTAACTGCTGATGGTTTGGTCATTGAAGGCCCAGATTTTCGGGACAAAACTCCTGATGAGATGAGGCAAATAATTCCTAGAATTCAGGTTTTGTTCTTGATTATTTAATCTCACTCTTGCAGATCGATCTGATGTAAATTAAATGTTGCTGAAATGCTACAATATTGAATGCAGGTGATGGCGCGATCATCACCAACGGACAAGCTTGTGTTGGTAAAGAATTTGAGAGGTATGTTTAAAGAGATTGTTGCAGTTACTGGTGATGGCACGAATGATGCCCCTGCTCTCCGTGAGGCAGATATTGGACTTGCTATGGGTATAGCAGGAACCGAGGTTTGTAGATTTGCTCCTGTTTTAGGTTAATATATTCTTACCATTTTATTGTATTAAAGATTCCAAATTACAGTTTTTCTTTTCTTCTGCAGTTAATATTTTGTTCTCATATAAGGGCATAAACTATACCTTAGGATTTTCCATTTGAATTGCTCATTTACTTAAGTCTATACAGTTGCCATACTTATAAAGAAGAAAGGTTTTGGAGTCCTAACTGAAGTGGCTCATTGACAAGTTAGAGCAATTAAAAATCAATGGTCTTTCTCGCAGTAGTATGTTCAGTCGTTTGCAATTGCAATAAATTCAAGATTATGGCCCGGTAGATCCACAGCATATAGGTGTTTATTTAGTTTTTTTTTTTTTTT